TACACTCTCTTGAACCATGTTTATAAAAAGATACACATATTTAAAAATGTTCCCTATGAAAATATAAAGATAACAAAATAATTAGTCTGTAAAGGAATTAAAACTAACTGCCAAACATTCTACGCACAAAGGCGCTACCTGACGAGGTAACGAGATACTTGGCGGTTAATTTTAATTCCTTTACAAACCAATATTTTATTAAAACATATATATATTTAAAAATGTTTCCTATGAAAATATAAACATAACAAAATGAGTAGTCTGTAAAGGAATTCTAATTAACTGCCAAACATTCTATACTCACAGGGGCGCTACCTGACGAGCGCGATTACTTTTAGAATTTCCGTGTTGTAAATTGTGTATGGTTTTGGTACTACAATATTCAACGAGTGCCATCTTCTGAAAATGACTCAAGTCCTCCAGTGCGGTCTTTATAGTGGTGATTCTCTTTTTATACTCGTGGTCGCCTTTAAGTTTGCAATAATACCGGTGAAAAATAATGTAGCGCTCAGGCTGGGGAATACACTTTTTCATAGGTTGTCTTTCCACACACAACTTTTTTGTAACACATCATACCATTTCTAATAAAAACACTGGACAGTTGATTATTTTTCCCAATAGAATACGCGTGGTTTGCAGTTGTACTTTTAGTCGAGTCCCACACACCCATGTCATCTGGAAAAACGTCCTTCTGTCCTTTTTTAAGTTCCATATTTACAACAACATATCTTTCATTCCCAAAGGAATTCTATCCACGGGTGCAGCATTGGAAAATACTTTAAACTGTTCCATTGTGGACATCATCTTTCCAGCTTCAAGTGATGACTTAGTGCTGAGCTCGATTTACATCACTATTGGTCATCTCGCGCGAAATACGTGTATTAATAAAATCATCCACCTCAAATGAAAGATAGGAAGTTGCACTGCGGGAGTAAACAAGAGCTTTTGTAACTATGGATGTTGAATCGTCACTGATGCAGTTATCGTCACTAAAAACGTCAACGAGATTCCTGGTTTCAAAATCAACACTGTCAATTTGGTGGGTTCGGGTTTTCGTTTTGTCTGGTAATACAGGGATGGGGTTGTCAGAAAGCTTTAGGTTTGTAGGTGATAGGCTAGTATTCGGAGTAGAAGTAGTTGGGGGTGCTTGTAAAACTTTTGATTGTAGGAGCAATGCGACTTTGGTATTTTGGGATGTATGCACTCTTCGCATAGTTTGTTGTATATGCTTGGTAGTTATGCTTTAGTGTCTATTAGAGTATATCCCAGATTTTAGATGGGTAAATTAAAGCCTTGTTGACAATTAACATATCTACATTTGCAAAGATTCCCCAAGAGATTATAGCTTTTTGATTTAACGATATGTAATGATATATAAGGATTAAAATGTACACAAAACACTTTGTCGTGAGTATTATTTATGTAGAGAGTGAGAGATGACGTTTAACGTCCACTAGGTCATTTCAATAATTCGCTTGTGTGTAGGGGTCTTTAGCAGTGGGATGACCTGGAGAAAACCCACGAGGCTGGACAGGCGACCCTACTCCTTGTCACGTACAACCGGGGAATCACATACACGAGTTATCTCCCTTCAATAGAGTGAGCGTGAAACTCTGATTTTGGCACATAGCAGCGAGGCTTCTTAAATTCAACTAAATTGTTATTTTATGTTTTCAAAGACATTATTTTGGAGTTATTGGGCAGTTATTGGGTGTTATTGGGTAATTCGACGCGCCCTTTTTATTCAGTAAATATCTGAATTTAGATTGTGAAACAGGCCATGTCTTTGTTTATCCCTCTCTAAGTATATACATAGAGTATATCAAACTTAGCAGTAAATATTCGCTTAGTCACTACTATCACAGAGAGGGATGACACCGGGGCGCGTTAATTAGCTCTTAATATTAACATTTTTTCTTCTGCAAATTAAATTCTAAAACAGTTTTTCAAATTATTAAAAATAAAGGTTTTTGAAGAATATCCGGATGAAAAATAGTTCCTATATTTAATCTAAATGGGTACATAAAATAGTAGGCGAGGGCGTAAAATGAGTAAAAGGCACCAATTCTATCGGGACCAGTTTGTTTTACTATGTCCAATGTAAACAATGTACGTGTTATCGACGCCGTATGGGAAGTCACACGTAGATCGAAACTGCACGTTCACTAATAAAGTTCAGACATCTTGTACAAAGTTAAAACAACGCTTTCGCATTATCGCTATGAAACAGATTGACTACATTTATGTTCACTAGAAATAAACAGAATTGTTTATATTTGATGGAAGTAAATCGGTTAATTATGATGACATACTACGCCCTGTTTGTCTTATATAGTTATTTCCCATGTGCCCAGTTTGCGTGATGTATATCGACATCGCACTTGCATATTTCTTGATGTCTAAACCAAAGCGCATGCTTTTTTAAAACATAGTCATTAAAACTTCCATATCATAATTAGATTAGTAGTCCAGTAACATATTGCTACATCACTTAAATGAGAGAGAGAGAGAGAGAGAGAGGTGGGGTTTAACGTCCACTGTAGCACCATGGGCCTTTCTGTCTGACATGGAGAGCGGGGTAATGGCAGACCGGTCGCCACATCTTACATACGATCCCTGCATCTTTTCTTACTACATATTTCTGTAGCATTGTGATCGTCTAGAATTTGCCTCTAGCTGTCTTTACTTCTGCTTCACGTTGTGTTTGCTTCTTACTGGTTTCTTCAGACGTTAGACTCTCAGTTATAACAATGCAACAGTAAGTTCGTTTTTACATTTTATATATCATATAGCTGCTTACAGATGGTACAATGCACAGTACATATTACAATATTAACTACAGTCGCGGCTGTCTAGGAGCTCAGATGGAACCTCTCTGGAATCTAATTGAAGTCTGCTTGAAAGTTTCAAATAGATATCTTATATAGCACTCACGAATATCACGCATAACAAAGCGTGTTCATGGCCCTGAACTCGTGTAATCAACAAAATGATTGATTAAGTTAAACCCAATGACGCAATAGTAATTTTCCTTGCACACGTGCTCTCTGTGGTATTTTATAGACACATGTTTTGGCTAAATAACTCTTTTTTATATAACAATATGTCATTTATACCCTAAGTTAATTTTGTACAAATTATATCTAATATATATGTGAATATGTGTGAAACTATTAATTTGCCAAATATATTAATTAATGAAATATAAAGTCATCTTATTTCTCTATTCTTTGTCTATAAATCTAAAAACAATGTCGCCACGACTATATTGCTACACCACTTGACACAAACCAGGTCATTTCAGGACTAACATATGGTTCAATTTTATTTCAATTAATAATTCGCTTTAGCCTGGTCTTTAGCAGTGGTGGAAAACCGGAGGACCCGATGAAAACTCGCGAGGTTGGACATGCGACCCTACTCCTTGTCACGTACAACCGGCGAATCGAAACCACGCCAGTTGACTCAGTGACAGGTCTTATGACACAACGCGCAAGCGATAACCATTCGGCCGTCCAACTCCCCCTTAAATGAAAGCGGGGGAGTATCAAAGCAATACAAAAGTGACATGAAATTGTGTACACGTGACCTCGGTTTTTCGTCCCATCCGAACGACTACAGGCTGCTCAATTGTAGCGGCGAACAAGACAAGTTTAAGTAAGCCGATACAATATTGTAGCTAATGATTTACCAGTACCAGCATAACATCTGTCATCACTAGCGTGTAGTTGGAAACCGCATCTTATTTCCATCAGAAAATTAGGATACTGTCTATCATTCTCTGTGGTCCAAACTGGCAAGAAGATGCGCGTATTTTCGGAGGAAAATGAGATAGCGCATAGAAGACTGCAGATAGACTAAACAAATGAACACAGCAAATTAGATATATACTCCAGAGTGGGCGATTGTTTTACGCGCTTTCTAGTCTATTGCAATATTTGGAATGAGGAATCTCCCTTTAAGATGTCTTATCCGCTCTACTACTCGTATAAATGGCCAGTGAAGTCCCCCTTACATGCGCAAAGAGGGTATATCACCAGACCGTTCAACCTGAGTACGTAATGTAAGTAGGCCTACGTATCGCAAAGAGAACCCAACGCAGTTATTAGGCTATATAGGCTACAAGATAAGATAAGATAAGATGTTTATTGCATCAAAACGTTCATTATGGACAGCATGCATACATATACACTTCGACATAGTCATATACATTTAATAATACATATTACATAGACAACTCAATACATTCATACAAACAGTATGCTACATGTATATCAAAGGGGTTTCAGTTAGATGTAGTTGCCACCAAATTTTATTTAGCTCTCTTATCGAAAGCCAAAAAACACTTATATATATGACGAAATTATAATCCCACTGCGGTTATAGAGCTTTTAATTTTGAACGAATCACAGATATATGAAATTATAAAGTAGTAAAAGTCGTTAGGTGTCTGTTATAGGACTGTAGGCCTAACCAATCCGCAATATGTAGTAGGCTGACATAAAGTTGTGTACGCCGAACGTAGTTTGCTAATAAGTATTAGAAATCTATTTTCTCTTTCGTCTATTAACTTAGAAATTCAGGTTATAGAGAAACAATAGCCTTTAGGTCGAGCTGGTCATTATGATTAAATGTGGTGCGTTTCAAATAGTCATTATATTTTAATGACCGTATCAGCATTCTAGACAATAGTGTCCAAATTTTATGATGTGTAAACGAAAGATAAAACACAACGAACCATACTTTGTACATACAGAGAATCATAGATCTCCCTAATTGTAATCATACAATACATTTCTATTGCTTTGTTATCAAATAAAACAATAGACGATCAAATGATACCGTTCCTACAAATATGATTAAAAATGTCTGGCACTGTCCAATAATGCGCCCTCTAACGATGAAAGCCGATTGGCTGGAGAGAAATGTTGATTTATTAGTTTGTGAGATTAGGTAGCTCTACCAGCCGCTTTTCTCAATGATTAGTTTGATAAGTTAGTTGAGAATGCGCTACAATATTATATCGAAGCTTTGCGAGAAATGTCGGATTTTTATTGATTTCAGTATGAAGTGATTATCATTTCGTTATAAGATACTGATAATAACTTTTTGATAAATGGAAATATGTAGTGATTTAAATTTAGTAAGCGTAAAATTCAGGTAAGATGATTTCTTTATCCCCATTTAGTGTGACATTCCAGGACATTCGATGATTTTGCTCATTGTTTTTAAAAGAGTCTAAAGACTTTATTTTTATAATAATTGACGCATAACCCACACAAGAATAAAAGCAATAAAAAGCCTTGCCAATAAGTATATGAAAATTGTCTACTAAAGAAAATTCCGATAAAAAGTCTGAAACTAAATACAACTAATCAAAATAATTATGATGTTTTTACTGGCCGACGAGTTTTTGTTGGTTCATTCACGACTTTTAAATGCGTTTCTTTTTTATCCTTGACATTCACTTTGTTAGTTTGGGATGTATGCGCTATTCGCAAAGTTTGTTGGTAGTTATGCTTTAGTGTCTATTACGAGTATATCTCAGATTTTAGATGGGTAAATTAAAGCTTTGTTGACACCCATTTTCTTTTGACCCTTCTGTGCTACCCAATTAACATATCTACATTGACAAAGATTCCCCAAGAGATTCTCGTTTAATCAATCTCTTTCCGTGTCTTCAAATGAAGAGGATCAAGCATAAAAGACCGTGTTAAACCTCTTACATGTTATTGTATTTGTGACTATAATGATATTTCTTTTATATACTAGTTTTAATTATATTACGAGAAAATATTCTAATATATCAAGCTGCGTTCCTGCAAATAATATAAATACAACAAATTTTTGTTATTAAAAGCACAATTATAATTGAAGCATGTGGGTGTAGAGGTGGAAGTGGGGTTGATAATCCTTATACGGTGTGGGTATAATGAATTAAAAATTAAATCAAAACCTTCCTTTACAGACAAATTTGCACGAATAACGGGAGCTTTTCTGGACAGAAGAGTTTAATGCAAGATATATACAACAAAACTGAATAAATTAAGCTACTCTCAATATATTTTGATGAATCGCAAATAACAACAATGAGAACAACAAACGAATGCTCACTATATCGATAACAGTAAAAAGTGCTTTCACAAGAAATTTACAAACACTAGTATAGTACTGAAGAAACCCAATCCAACTAACATATTAAAATATTTCTGAGAAAAAATACTGGAAATACAATTATTAAAACAGTACTGAAAATCAAAGAAAAATATCTTTTTAAAAAAAAATGGTACTCTTTATGGTTTATGTAAATATTAAGCGGGTTCTTTCTCCTCGTCACTAGTGAAATCTTAGATTAAAGATTACAGTGAAGCACGCGAGTTTGTTTTTCTCTGGTGGTTTTTGATCCCGACTGTATGCCGTGTCAAATCTCTGAAAGAAACGAAGATGGACTTTCAAACTCTGTTTTTTTTACATTTTACATATTCGCAGATCATCAGCTGACACAGGGGTCTTTTTGTAAAATAAATATTACTAGTATTCAAAATTACAGAACAGAACAGAAAAGAACTTTATTCACAACTTACATCAAATGCATGACTGCATGACATATGTAAATTCTTTCACTTATTCAGAAAAAATATATTGTACTTATATTCTTCACATTGAATATCGACATATCTGTTTATATAATCGTCCGAGCTAAACATTCCTATCCATTGTTTAATACAACTCTGACCTTTAGACCGATTAAAATGTTTTGTTGAGTGGGAAATAAGCCCATGCCTATGCGTAATTGAATGACCCAACAAATCTGCATCATGTAATCATAAAACTGGACGAACTGGCATGCGAACCGATGTACATTTGCAACGACAGTATACCACCACAAACACATTGACACGCATAATGAGTACCAATGTACCTGTTAGCCATACATAAAAAAAATCATTACTATAAGTATCGTCATCATGATTCATCGTCACCATGTGTTGCAATCCATCTGGTCTCTGTTGGTATTTGTTATCGTGTAGTTTAGTAATGTGGCGCAGGAAGACATCACATTAAAACCTATTGTGTGAATTAGTTTTAACAACTAGAACGTCTTTCTGACATGACCCGGTTCTGATTTATTTGTAACATTTCTATCAGATTGAGAAAATGTATGCCAAAATTCCCTCAACTTTCTGCGCCAAGTTTGCCTTTCGTGTTACATTGATCTATCAGGAATAAAATAATGGCTTTTTAATAGCCCAGAAACCCATAATTGACAATACTGAGCCAATTTAACAAACTTCCTACTGATTCTCCCAATCTCTTCAAGCGGTTCAGTGAACAAAACGAATTAGAAATACGTTTTCATTACTATATTTCGGGGAATAATTATGACAAAAATCACATGTAATCATTGGCTGTGTACACCTGCAACATCAGTGGTTGAATTACATAGAGACAGAATGCATATTTATTACGTGTACTTTCGGACGAAACACGTTATGTTTTTGTTGTGAATTTTAATCAGAAGTTGCCTTCAAAACTGTGCATGATGCCATCGTAGATTTTGTTGACCTAAGCGGAATTACTTATTAAATGTAAACTGGATTATTTTTGACAAACAGAAAGTGATCGACGAATAGGGCACAAAATAATAAAAGATAGTTCATATTTCTCTTATTTTTCAAGGGATATTTGTCGGATTTTAATTTTTGGATTCTTTGGACAAATCCCGTAGGGGCTATGACGGACGGTTTTTCGAAATTCGCTCGCTAAGTTTTAGAAGAAAAGACTTTAGAAATTTTTCTTCAGCATTTTGTTGTGGCGGCTTCCGGAAGCAACCGAGAAATTCGATTTTCCTCGAACATGAATATGTCTCTCCATTTTAAAAATTAGACTAAAGATGTCATTGTGTTGTTAGTCTCAGATAATTTCAGAGACTATGTTCCATAACATTTTCGACCGTTTGGCCGCCATATTTGAAAATCCACTATTATGAATAAATTAAAATTAATGATCTATTACAGAGGAAAAGCCTCCAAGAATACGATAAGTACGTTTACATTTTTTTCTTAAATAACGCCAACGATGAACATATTCTCATATTTTGATGTAGTTTGTTCCAGTGAAGAGGACTTGAACATAAAATGAACGATTACCAAATGAACATAAGTTTGCAGAACGTTCTACTAACAAGCCTGAGTCCGTCGAAGGTCTTTGCTTTTTTTTTTGAAACATACACTTCAAGGAGCCCGGGCAGATATGACGGACAGAGGTCATATAAGCAGTGAAAAGTCAAAAGGAATATTTTGAACTTAACTTTAAAGGAATTAGGTAACCAATGTAGATGATACATTATAGATTATAATTGTGACATCATATCAGCTTCCCTCACGATTGCTCAGGATTAATCCACAACATGTCAAATCTTTCACATATAGCACAAAATACGTACTATTTTAATGTAAAGACTGCTGTTATGTGATTTAACACACTCGGGTATAAAATTAATATTCATGGAGAATGAACTGTTTTGTATGGAAAAGACAGCCGATACTATATTTATCTAAATCAAATTAAAATTGCGATGTGAAATTAATGTAAACTTAAAAGTTTTATTTTTTATCAGAATGGTTATCATCAATATATACTTTGGATTGTGCATGGTCTTAAACTCTTTATTTAACTTTTGTTGTCACATGTTGGGGCTTCATAATTTTAATTGTTCGAAAAATGTTTTTAAATAGTGTATAATCAATGCGCAAAACTGAAAACTGCAGTGCCCTGGTCGCCAAAAGGTGTGTTACCAACATAACGCGCATTTATAGAGTAATTAATTCACAGATGGTGAAAGTTTGGTAATCCTTCTTATTGTCATAGATTCAGCAACAGGTGGTATCTATACAATAATATATTATTACAGTTTTAACCGACTTTAATTACACCCATCTGTTCAACATACACACAATTGGCGTTTAACATATATTATTCATTTATATCCCAGACTTTAAATCTTTGATTAAAAATAATGATTAGAGTGTAATCGATTTGACCCATATTTTTTATTTGGAAGATTTGTTAAAGGTTTGCATAATCGGGAATATAGCTATTTAACACACATATATACATAGTATCGCGGGATTTAAGTATCGTTCCATCCGTCTGTCTGTCCGTCACACTTTTTGGGACACAATAACTCTCCTTCTAATTGAGCTAGAATGTTCAAACTTGGTGTAGGTGTTTATTAGGTCAATGTCTTGATGGAGTTCGAAGATGAGCATTTTCCGCTTAGGGTAAGCAGAGATACGCTATTTGATTGGTTGATGCTTTGGGACACGATGACTTATGTTCTAATTAAGTAAGAGTGATGAAACTTGGTGTATAGTTTCATTACATCAATACCTTGACTAAGTTCGATAATGAGCATGTTCAGCTCAGGGTAAGCAGAGCGATAAGCAATTTGATTGGCCCAGACTTTGGGACTCAATAACTCTCCTTCGAATTGAGGTAGAATGTTCAAACTTGGTGTAGGTGTTTATTAGGTCAGTGCCATGATGGTGTTCGAAGATGAGCATTTTCTTCGTTGGGTAAGCATAGATGAGCAATTTGATTGGTTGGTGCTTTGGGACACAATAACTTTAGTTGTAATTAAGTGGCAGTAATGAAATTTGATGTACAGTTTTATTACATCAATGCCTTGCCTAAGTTCGATATTGAGCATTTTCTGCTAAGGGTAAGCAGAGCGATAAGCAATTTGATTGGTCGAGACTTTGGAACACAATTACTCTTATTCTAATTGAGGTAGAATGTTCACACTTGGAGTAGATGTTTATTAGATGAATGCATTGATGGAGTTCGAAGATGAGAATTGTTTGCTTTTGGTAAGCAGAGATAAGCAATTTGATTGGTTGATGCTTTGGGACTCAATAACTTTAGTTCTAATTAAGTGAGAGTGAGGACACTTGGTGTATAGTTTTATCATATTATTACCTTGACTAATTTCGATGATGAGAATTTTCTGCTTAGGCTAAGGAGAGATAAGCAAATTGATTGGTCAAGACTTTGGAACATAACAACTCTGCTTTTAATTGAGGTAGAATGTTTAAACTTGATGTAGATGTTGATTAGGTGAATGTCTTGACTGAGTTCAATAATTAACATTTCGAGCTAAAACTAAGCAATTTCATTGGTCGATGCTTTAGGACAAAATAACTTTGATTCTTTCTGATAGAGAGTGATGAAACTTAGTGTATAGTTTATAATCAGTTTGATTGCTTGATACTGTTGAATAAAAAATAAATGTGCGATTAATTAATATGTGTCATCTATCTATTTTGGGATTTCGGCGGGAGCATCAGCCTCACTGTTGGTTTGTTTCCCCTTATCAGTGATGCAGGACGGATTACCTGACAAGGAAGAGTATCCGGTCATTTGGATGGGACGAAAAACCGAGGGCACGTTGGCCTAATTGGCAGTGGAATTCGACGAAAAGTATTCGAAAATGTCGCTGTCTAGGAAAAATGTCCCTCATAGTACACCGCGTGCTGTGTGTCCGAGTAATTACATGTAATGGAACTAATATTTTAAATTTCTTTCGAAAGAGGACATGCACAAAATATGTGATATAGTAAACTAGGGAGGCCCGCTTTCCCGGTAAGAAACTGACGCGTATAGAATTAAGTCAACATGTCAATATATTACACGATTAACCCCGGGAGCAATTGAAGGTTCACAATAAACCTCACTTTCGTTAAGTTGTCCGTCACTTTCGTCATAGCCGTCATCAATGCTATCTTCACCAATGTATAATTATCGCATTCGTACATGTATGGCTCGTCAATAGGATCATAATCGACGGCGTCTTCACCTCATTCCAAATCTAAATCTTCTTGGAATTTTTGATAAAATATCATGCAATTCTTTCCGAATACGATTTTCAAAAGACTGCCTAATCCAGTCGCTGATAGCTCAGTGCCGGAGACTTAGTCAGTAATGTCGGTTACGTATCCAAATTGGTCTATTTAGACCATTAATATCCATATTTTTTTTGTTGCATGTGTAGTTTCACCTGTTCTTAACATAACATCACGCACCACACCTGTTGTAAAATAGAACCGAATAATTAGGTAGGAACCAATAGATATTTAAGTATAACAAAATGCAATGTTGTCTAATCAACACAATAATTCGGTTATCGTGAACTTACGGCTATATTAATTTCTATAGGCAATTGTAAATAAGAAGTTTTCCCGTACAGTGTCATGTCCAACTACACTTTAACCTGCATCGCAAGGTGTACACAGGAGACGCCAATATCAAGATATAACCATAAAGATTAAAGATAGCCAACGCAGCAACTATGTCTTGTCAGCAGCATATCCGAAAGCAAAACTTGGATGTTGACCAAATGAGATGAGGCTGCCTTAAAGAAATCAGATCTCAGTCGTGTTCACTAGCTTAGAAAAATATCTTTAAAACTGTAGACTTCACATGGTTTTCGGAAAAGGTTGATAACTCGGAATGGAATATCGAAGAACACTGAATATTTACAGTGTTCGTCCTCTATTGCATTCATAATGTTTTTGGTTAAATGAGGGTAACTTTGGTACGGATTGTCGCGGAACGCGGATTATCGGTGGAGTTCGTCCTCTCGTGGCCATATTGTCTTATACAAAATTTGAAAAGAATTCACTAAAAACTATGGCTTCTACCGCGTTCCCAAGGTTTTCGGCAAAGGGGGCATAACCCTGGAACGGAAGGTCGCAGAACGCTGACAGTGTTCGTCCTTTCATCACACTAAATTTGAAGACAATCTCTTAAACACTACAGCCTCTATCACGCTCACGAGGTTTTCGACTAAATGGGAATACGTCTGGTACGGAAGGTATCGATAAAATTCGTCCTCTATACCAAATTTGAAAACAATCTGTTAAAAATTACAGCCTATATCGCGTCCGCAATGTTTTCGACTAAGGGGGAATAAGTCTGGCATGGAATGTCTCGGAATGTAAAGTATCGATACACATGTAATTCGTAATATCATGACCACAATGATTCACACCAAATTTGAAAAGAATCCGTTAAATACCGACAGGATTCGCCCTCCCATGGCCACAATGCTTCGTACCATATTTGAAAATAATCCGCTAAATACTATAGCCTCTATCGCGTTCACAATATTTTCAGAAAAGTGGGCATAATTGTGGTGCGAAAAGTCTGTTGACGGGCGGGCGGACGGACAGGGTGACGACATAATACGCACACATTGATATGTGGGCGTATAAATATTCGAAACCCTTACATGTCGAGTAAGTGTAAATAATACCCCGTTAATATTTGAAATACCTGTACGAATATATTTTTAACTCATAAAAGAGAAATTTCAAACATTTTGTATCGATATTTTAGTTCTAATCTTAAACGTTTCTAAAGGAAATTTACTGTGCATACATAAATTTTGCTATAATATTTTGTTAATTTTATAATTTCAGGGATAATTAGTGCAAAATGGTTAGTCACGCTGGAGATTATGTGTGTGTTGGAGATTATATAGCTCTATATTCTGTGGAAACAGAAGGATATGTTTATAGTTTACAGTCCAGGTATAGTACCTTTAATTATTCATTACTGATTTTATTCTATTTACCATACGATTTTTATTATGCAAATCGATGTGTAACAATTGAAATCGATGTAACTGGAATTTATTTAAGCGGCCTTAAGACAAAATAACTCTATGCAGTTATTGTTTTTATTATAATCGTACATTTTTATAGCTCACAACTTCAACGACTACGCGCGCATTATAAAAGAAGGTACATAAGTTAAATACACAAATAAAATAAATAAACTAAAATACAACATACATGTATACATTGATATCGACTTAAAATTTATCAAGTTATCTTCCATTGTCGTGATTACAACCAACTCCTTCATTCATAATCTTGATTACCAATTCATTATCCTGATTACAACGTCTCCATTGTGATCTTGATTACTAACTCATCTTCCATCATCGACTCGTGATTAAACCAACTCCTTCATCCATGATCTTGATTACCAATACATCTTCCGTTATCGTCATTACAACTTCTCCATCATGATCTTGATTACCAACTCATCTTCCTTATCGTAATTACAACTGAAACAACTAGACCGTTAACAACAATATGTAGGTGATAAAAAAAATTACTAATACATGTATGCACATGACAATAGGGTGTGAACATACAAGATATAGTTCTCTATCACAATATAAAATTGAAAATGACGCCAGAAAATCTCGACGAACTTTTAGTAGGACGTTAAACCGAATTTCATTTCATTCAGTTTACCTACTTTTCTGTGCCAATCGGGCTATTGAAGATAGGCATACGCTATACAGAGTGCTATGACGGAAACTTACAATGGACCATGGCATTTCTTCATCGAAATTCAACTGCGAAGGATTCTTTTATGTGCACGCCAATGTGTACTAAGGTTTTTTTTTATCCCATCTACACAACTAGACACTGTTGTTTGTCCTGTACTACCGACAGGGAGAAACCACGCTGTAAAATCCCGGAGTACTTTATTGACCAACACCAGTATCAGTGGCGTCGGGTAAAAATGTTATATTGTCGGCTTAAAATGTTGTGATGCCGGGTTGTCGTGGTGTCGGGTTAAAATGTCGTGATGTCGGGTTGTCGCCTTATGAAGAGCGACACCACGACATCACGATGGTACCAATCTTGTACATTGATTAGGCGAATGTCTGCCATTTTGAATTTTACCGCTTTTCGGTGCGCAAAATTTGATAAGCTTTTGGAATGTTATAAATTACACTTAAATAAACGAAAAACATGCATAAAACATTTTCTTGCAATTTGTTGGGGATACACAGATTGACTGGTCTTTATCATTATCTTGAATACAGTAAGTTTATTCACCCAGACATGGGGTCAACATGAAAAAAAGTATTTAGAATATAACATGGTAGCATTCTTCTATGAACTTCTTTTAAAGAATTCCCAAAAAATATTTTCATTAAGTACGGTATTCAATAAATTGTATATTTAATATTCATAACCATCCTCCGTGTATTTTTTAAACACACCAATTTATTTTACAATAACCCTATTTTTGTCGACATCAATGAGCTATTCTGTCGATACGGTGCAATCTGGGTGCTATTTTAGAATAGTTAGTGTCTTCTCAGTTTAAAACAATGACATTATTGGTTTCAACGAATAGTTTTATCATAATGTGTATACAATAATATTGTGATGAATGAAATGAATACTATACATATTGATATATGGAATATTGATGAGATTCCTTTTTTATGTTTATTATGGACGGTGCGATGTAATACTTTAACGTCCCTGGGAGCTATTTGATACCCCATTAAGTAATAATATGTCCATAAAACACATATAAACAATAAAAAGTGATTTATCTTTGATGTTCGTAAATTGGTGCCATCGACCATTCAACAACTTTTTATCTCGCTATTAAAAGCAGCCTATAAATCTGAGTACATTGAGAATAAGTTACGCAGCTACCTGTCAATGAATACTACTAGCTTGAAGATGCAACACGACTAAGATATATGCTTATTGTCACACAGGCATATTGAAAGATGGCGACGTAAAATCAAAACGTGCATGGTCTTGAAGTCTATATTAGTCTGTGCATGGTCCTAAAGTATATGTTAGCCAGTGTATGGTATGGTCGTAAAGTCTGTATTATACTGTAGATGGTCGCAAAGTCTACATTAGCCTTATATGATCGTAAAATCTGCATTAGCCTATGTATGATCGTAAAGTGTGCATTAGCCGTTTACCCTGGAATAAAGTCCTCTTAAATACCTGTAACAAGCAACCCCTTGAGAATATTCTATTAATAAATTTTCCACAAATACGCAGTTCGTATAAATAATCTTATAAAAGATTTGAGGTCGGTGTGGCTCCGTTTAGTGCTATGGTCTGTAGTCTTGCAACCGGTCACACATGGCGTGTCTCCGCAGACCCATGAATAATATCTCCAAGTTGCCATCGTGACACTTCACCGAGACACTCCAGACAGCCAATATCTGGCCATGGGTCCGACCACAGTTCCTCCCAACCAGAGTGTCAGAGAGGGAAGTCCGAGTCTTCATCCGTCAGCTCCTATGTCTCCCAGAAGAACTATTATAGTAGCCGTTTTCGTCGTAGTAGGTAGAACCAATATTTGGAGGAAATCTTAAAGACGATGTTTTTCCCTTCCAGCTCGGTCATGGCGTGGAGAAGTGTCTCGCACGATATCAATCTGGACATGTTCACCAAACAGGCAATCTTATAGGCGACCAGTACATTCGCATTGCCGTGGAATCGGTTGCACCCCCACTATTGATAACCATAACCACACACTCTCAACTAGGCCTGGATATATGAACAACAATACCATATGTCATCGTTCCGGCTCAGTACTGGCATACTCTCAACATTATGTGTGACGATTTTGCCATGACCACCCGCTAGGGTACACAATGTTTGTCAGATACGGGCAATTGGTCCCCTTGTACAGAATTTTCAAGAAATGGAAGCAGTATTATACAAGGGTTTGTCATAGGGGGGATGAAACGCGGACTGAATCATTAGTTTCATGTAGGTACACAATGCGACATTTTTAATCCATGATGGCCACTTTGGCGTGCATAATGAACTCTGAATCTCAGATGTAATTTTTTATGCCAAAACACTATCATTGGTTCCGTGGCAGTTCCTTCACTAAAGCACCAACGAAACTAACAATTGCCGTTGTTAGCAAATTGTTGTTTATACCGATTTTAAACATTCATGTTTATTTGTTATAAAGTTCTCTAGTGCTTCGTTATTAAGCATAGTACAAATTCATTGTGGGTGCTTCACTGTTTCTAGGTGTATATAATAGTAACCAAACGCCATTGGAACAAAGAGGCGTTCTAGAAATTACAGAAATCCAATAACCTGCATTAATTTTGAAGTCAAGCTGATTTCAGGCATATCTATATTGGCTTACCATTGTTAATTATCGTCAACAGCTGTTTAGAACTGTATTTATAAGAGGCTGATATCGCGAATAAATATCTCTGAATATTTAACCAAAATACGTGTAGAGTGATTAAATTATGTAAAACAGAATTTTCAAAGCAGTCTCAATCAATGAGTGGTACCTCAAAGTTTATTATAAAATAATTCCAGACAAACCAACAGCTACAATCCACCTAAAATAGATGACACATACTAATTAGTTGCACATTATTTTATCTTTGTAAAGCATCAAGCAATCAATCAGCTTATCTATACTTTGCCTAAAAAGAAAAAGTTCATGATCGGTGTAGTAAAACTATACATCAAGTTGTAGGGTGACCCATGTACTCACAGAAATACAGTCCACCGCTGATAGTTCGAGACTATCACTGAAGCGTGCACATTCGCCGTGCCGAGACCAACTTTCTGACTGTATGATACTATAAATAGCCATGGCACTGCAATTCTCTACAAATCTATCAACTATTACAGCCGTAACAAAATTATTGTTGACGATTTTGAATAGCAGTAAAATTAAGCTTCTTGGTTATTACAGCAGATTTAGAAATTACGTTCGTTTCATTTTTTAAATCGCTTTATCATTAACTGTACCGTTAAGAGCGGCATCGTTTGGTTTAGTACAAATAATATCTCTGAATCACTCGGGTTAGACAGGAACATGATACTAGCAGTAGTTTCATTTTACTTTTACAAGCTTCTTAAAACGATTGTTGAACTACCTAACGTGCTTATTTCTAAATTCAATTTTTTGTTCTAGCTATCTGTTATGTTTCGTAAAAAAGTAGTCTTGATTATCCCGATCTGTCAATCAGACGTAGAATGGTCGATAGACTGATTAAGCGAGACTAATTTCAAAACAAGGGCACGTAACCTATCTTTTACTCAAAAGTGTCTGGATGTTATGGACGACTCTTGGAACCAGTTTTCAGTCTATTATTTATACATGATTAATGGTCATAGCTTATTAAGTACAACATGAACATTTATTTAGTGACTATAATTGTGTGAAACTGATTTGATGCTTGGCATATATATAAATATTGTGGCGTAATTGTCGAGATATATCGAGATATTTATTTATGGTGGGTCACCCTACATCAAGTTTCACCATTCTTATTCAGTGACCCAGAGAATAGACCAATCACCGCACCCGGTCAAGCCATTCACCCAATGAACATACACAATTTTTAATATTCTACGCCTCAATGAAAAGCAGAGTTATTGTGTTCCGATATCTTGACCAGTCAAATCACTTATCGCTACTTAACCTTAGCAGAAAATTCTCATTACCGATCTTAGTCAAGGTATTGATGTAAAACAAACTATTATCACTCTCACCAAATTAGAATTAAACCATGAAAATAAACCGACACAGTAGCTATGTCGCGGAACAAACAGCCATAGATAGCAGCGACTGTACTATATACCGAAAACATTCTAAAAGTACCGAAAAAGCAACATTAATTACCCAAAAAAAAACCTAGGCTACGCATAAAAATTGTTGGGAACTCTAGGTCACGTATGAAAATGGTGGACACTCTAGCTGG